AAAAAGAAAAAAATTACCAGATTATCATACTTCTTACACTATGAAATCAATCATAACCAAAAAGGTTACAGCTCCGCCTTCTACATGCATAAATTACACTGGACGTGATTGACCTAAGTAACAGTCATCCCCAAACATATATTTGTGAAGAAGAGATTCAAATTCAACCACAATAGAGTATAGCTATATACACTGTCTGGTATGTTGAAAGTAATAAATTCATATGAGACGGAAGTCTGCTGAATTGAACTGATTTGCACTTTCGATTCTCTAACACATAAAATAATTACACTTCAAATTAAAATGCTATAATTTAATACAAGGTGAAGCAATAAATGGCAGTTACACTTTAAAAAAGATATTTTGTAGCCCAACAGGGGACTGCTGTTAGGAAAGAATAATTATTTTTTTTAAATACGAAATGGGTTAAAAACTCACCTGTCGGAGAAAATTTAGAGTTTGCTGTTGTGACGTCGAGGCATCAGCAATAGCAATAAACGATAAGCCATTTCGGTTGTATGAATTATAGGTATCTCTAACAGAAAATTATTTTAATAATTTATCAAACCTTCCAAGAGCAAATGTAACGTATTCTTGGAGAGAACTATCAAGATATTGTCGTGAGACCGCACTATAATTTATTGGGCCGACACTCTGTTCACATAACACACGTTTTCCACAAGCGATAGCACAATAATGTATGCTCATGTCCTCAACCTAATCTAGATAACGAACTTCCCAAGGATAAATTTTGTAACTGTGAAAATTTATTACATCCATTAAAACAAATATAGGACATAGAAAAAATGAGATTGCTTTCCTTCTTATTCGTCACAAACACTTTTATTCCGTCATATTCGCCATATTTTTGCGTGCATATGGGCACATTAACTTCTCCGTTTCATTTCACACAATACTGTTGAAGACTAAATTAGTAATGACTCTGACCATATTAGCGTTTCCTGTCTATTGAAGAATTAGACTAAAACGAATTCGTTGCATAGGATCTGATTATATTAAATGCTACCTTAGTATTTAAACTTTATCAAAAACGTTTTTGCTCGAAATTAGACATAAATTTTTCTCCCGCCTTTTTATTAAAGAAAATTTATTGAGGACCGGAATATATTGTCGTCTAAAAAATCATCCTGCGGCAGGCCTCAACTTATGCGCAACTTCATTTCTTGCACTAATGCCTTGCTGACTATAGCATTCCAAAATGCGTATATTACAAGCCTCCTGTCAAGAAGGAGTGGCTAAAACAAACGATGTACCGCCACAGTCGGCGAATGACCAGAGTGCTCATACAAGATTGTCATTTCCGTTTAGAAAAAGATGCATACAGTTGTGAGAACTTAAAGATGATCGTCAATGGCTGCTGCAATGAGGCGACCGCTGCCAGATTAGAAAAAACCTTGATGTCCTTGGGGCTGCAGAAACGGGCAAACAGGGATGCAGACTTATCGATAAAATTCTGGGCACTGCAGACCGCAAAATGCCTGGAGACCGAAAGAAAGTTAGTGCACAACCTCTTGTCAAAATAACGGCCCGAGGCTGAAACTTAAGTTCCGCAACGAGGAGCCGGTTCAACACGACCGATCACCCGATCACCTTCATTGTCGCCTTCGAATCAGCGCTACGCCAAAACGGCGCTGCAGACGATACCAAGGACCTCCTTCGACATCAGGTTACCTTCCTCGTTTGGTGGCACTGAAAATCCCACTCATTACTAACAGAAGAACAAAAGGCCCAAGGAGACTTAAGGGCAGACGATAATAATATAATAAGTTTTATTTGTAAATCACATTGTCGGTGCCGTCAAAACACCGGATGGCAGGAAAAAACCTAAAACAAGCCCCTTATTTTGCAGTCACTATTGGCTTATTTTGGTCATATGCGAAAAATACGATTAAATAGTTGCTCCACTCGCCGACAAAGGCCGATCAACTGGGGTGCTAGATAAAGCTGACTACCAAAACAAAATCCGAACGCTCCTCAGTTATCAAGAGTTCTACAGAGACAGCACCGCCGCCGACCTAAAGCCA